CAAACTATCATAGATTGGAAGATTCTAAAAACAATATAAAATGTGCAATATTTTTTACGCTTTGCTAATTACTATCAAATCTTCATTAAGGACTTTTCTTAAGTTGTAGCCCTGCTTACACGTTTGACTTATAAAGACAAATTTGAGTGGAATAAAGAAGCAAAAGCATCATTTGATGCTCTAAAGAAAGAATTTACTTTTACACCAATCTTATACTAAATTGTCTCTTCTAAGGTATTTTTTATAGAAATAGATGCATTAGATTTTGCAATGGAAGTCATATTGTCACAAATGAGAACAAATGATAAACTCCACAGATTAGTTTTTCATTCCAAGAAATTTTAGTAGCCAAAATTAATTATGAGATCCATGAAAAAGAGCTCCTTGTAATCGTGGATTCATTTCAAAAATGGCGTTATTATTTAGAAGGTCCTTTAAATCTAGTTATTGTATATACGGATCATAAGAACTTCAAGTACTTCATATCAACACGTATTTTGAATCATCGTCAAGTCCATTGAAGAATGTCTTTATATAAATTCAATTTCAAGATCACTTATCCATTCAAAAAACAACAAGGTCTATTGAACGTCCTTTTTAGACGTTCTTATCTTGTACCAAAAGAAGGAGATGGATCTTTTGATCAACAAAGAATGATTCTCTTGAAGCCCAAGCATTTTCATCTTTGAGCAATAAAATCAACATTAACTGTTGATTCAGCCTTTATCAAACAAATTTAATTAAATATATTCTGTAATCTTCTTGTTCATGATGTCAAGAATCTTTTGTCTAAGTCTTATGATATTTCAAAGTTCGAATTCAAAAACAACCTTCTTTATTTTGAAGGACGCTTATATATTCCAGAAAGAGAAGTACATTTATGTATTCTTCAAGCACATTTACATGTTCTTCAAGAATGTCATGACTTTCTAGCAGCAAGATATTTTGGATACAATAAGACTTTAAAGCTTATATCTAAGATTTTTGGTGGCCGCAAATGTAGAAGGCGATAAAAGAATTTACTCAATTATGAGATACTTGTTTAAGATCCAAAACTCCTTGCTATAGATCTTATGGACTGCTTCAACTGTTATCTATTCTAAAACAACTATGGTCTTCTATTTCTATGGATTTTATCATGAATTTTTTAGTCTTAGATTTACATGTTTCCACATTTGTAATTCTAGAATGCTTCACTAAAATGGCACATTTTGTACTATGTACAAAATCTATTTCAAGTGAAGAAATAACTAAGCTTTTTATTGACAATATCTATCGCTATCATGGATTGTCAAAGGATATTATATTACATAGGGAGACTCAATTTGTATCAAGATTTTAGAGAACCTTATTCAAGATTCTAAAGATGGATATAAAACTTTCCTCAACTTTTTATCTTCAAATTGATAGACAAATGGAACGGGTGAATCAAATTTTGGAAGAGTATTTAAAGTGTACTATCAACTATCATCAAGATATTTAGACAATTCTTTTGCCATTGGCAGAGTTTACATATAATAATTTAGTACATTCTTCTACTCAACAAATACCTTTCTTTCCTAATTATGGTTATCATCCATGACTTGATACTTTTGACTTCTCAAAAGTTCATCATCCTACGGCAAAAGATTTAGCAAATCATTTGTCACAACTATATGCAACAATGAAGATACAATTAAAAGAAGCTCAAGGTCATCAAAAGACCAATGTGGATGCCTATCGCAAGGAGCAACCACAATTCAATATAGGTGATAAGGTATGATTACTTCGTCGCAATATTAAGACTATTCGACCTTGTGATAAATTGGACTATCATAGGGTGGGACCTTTTTTTATTTGTGAACAAATCAATCTTGTTGCTTATCAATTACATCTACTAGAATCTATGAAGATCCACCATGTATTTCACATGTCTCTTCTTGAGCTGTATAAGACAATGAATATTTTGAGAAGAAGACAAATGCCACCTCCTCTTATAGAAGTAGATAATAATCAAGAGTTTGAGGTAGAAGAAGTCTTAGACTCAAGGCCGCACCAAAATAGGTTGGAATATCTTGTTCTTTAGCATGGATATGATATTAGTAAATGCACATAGGAGCCATGAAAGAATCTTACAAATACAACAAAGAAAGTTGAATCTTTTTATCAACAAAATCTATCAAAATCAAGATGAAGAATAGCAAATCTTTGCTATAAAAGAAAGAAGATCAAAAGAAGATAATATTCTATCTTCTATCTTTCTTTGTAGCTTGTATGTATGTGACACTAGGAAGATGGAGAATCAATAACTAATAGATTCAATTCAAGAGCTTTCATTTGTAAATTTCCTAGATAAGATATTGTGATTGTCACAACCTTCAAGATGACAGAATCGAGATGAAGATCCTTAAGAACGACATGTTATTCTTTGAATAGATGGCCAAATACAACGTGTTTGGTATCATGACCTTATAAGAGATTCCTATTGTTTGGTAATTTTATTAGAATTAGGAACAACTTTCGACGGTGTTCCAAATATTTTATTTGAAAGAAATTACAAAGGCCTCAACAATGACTAAATGACATGGTGGTCTTCTCGCCCTGGTATGGGACACTATCAATGGCTGAAAGGGCCTATCAACCATCTTCAAAGAAAGCAAAGATCACATTATGTGACAAATATAATTTGCCACATCTTGGACTTCTTCAATATATGAAGACCGCTCTTCATGGAACCCATCTCTAGAAAGAGGGGTTATGTCATGGATATATACATTTACTTCAATAATTACTTATATGATTAGGTAGAAATAAATAAATATAGATTAATTTTATAAGGTCTTTTAGTAAAGCTTTCTAAAAGCTTTAGAGATGTAGTTTTGACTTTAGATGTGTTTGTAGGTAAGAAACTTGGCCAACAAGTTAACCACATGTTGATAGCTTGTGGAACAAGCTAACCATGTGGTGCATACATAGATAACTTGCTTTGCAAGTTAAGACATGTGGCTAGTAAAGTCAACATGTTTTGGAGGTCCTATAGGACATTGCTACGTAGCTCCTAATTAAGACTATATATAGAGGCAAGAGTGAAGCCTTCTCCACTCTTATCAATACTATTCTAGTCCTTAGTCTTGTTTCAAGACTTTCTAGTCTTCTTATTTTTGGCAATAGCCATTCTAGTTAATATTATATTACCTTTTGAATGACTTTCTAGTTCTCTTCACTGACATAAGAGTGTATCGAGGATTCTCTTTCTTTGAGATTCATGTCCATGACATATAAATGAATTCAAAGTTTGATTTTTAAAGAAGAGATTTCAATCTTGACAAGGATATTATTAATATAAACTCTTATATAGACATTGTCTTTGAATTCAAGTTCTACATCAAAGCTACAATTATTAAAAGATAAGGAATGATCTTCATCAAGAGCTACTAAGTATATAAAGATAGTTTCTATATAAAAGCATAGAAAAAATATCCTATAATTTTGAAGGTGTGAAAATTTAGATGTTTATTATTATTTTTGATGAATGAATAAAATCTTCTTTTTTTATTTTTTTGAGTTAAAAGTTGATAAAATAATTAATGATTCTAATAATTATTTAAAATATAGAAATAAGATATTATCATTTTTTAAAAATATAATATAAATCAAATAAGAAAATAAGGTGGTTTTTGACATATATTTTAATAATAGTATAAAGTTGATTTCATGAATTGTAATATACACATGAATCAACTTTAGAGAATATAAGATTGTAAATTTTAAGAATATATCAAAAAATAATTCTATTGTCTTAAACTTTGTTTAAGGCTTTAGATGCTCTTATTCAATTTATAAAATAATTTGCTAGAATCACCTTCCTTGAAACCTTTGTATTGCACTATTTAAATATCTTTGAAGAGATTTCCATTGGAAAAAGTTGTACCAATGTACCATATGATTTTTCCACACAAAAAAATATTTATTATAAAAATTTCAGCTCCAAATTATTTTTGTTTAATAGCAAATATATTGTCATTTGTGATAAGGCATCACCAACATTCCTTGTTTAGTTATTATGTGGGACTCAAATCATAGGCCATGCAAATTTTGCCGTGCCTCTTTTTGATTGATTCCATCAATGCTTTCCTAGCTTCTTCTTTGATTGCAACTCTTAGATCTATTGTAATTATTCTTGAAGTGAAGAAATTTGATGCTACAAATTATTAATATATTAATGCTGAATAAGGCCTCCAAATACCTAGCCATTAATGTTGAGGAGCTAGGAATGAAGGAATAGGGCATACTATGTAAAAATAATAAGTAGTTGAGCACTGGAGAATTCAAGGCTATTGTATTTCTAAACCAAGTTCTATATTTGATATTGTGTGTGAAGAACAAGTAAAATGTCTCAATGAAGAAAGAGCTTATACTACATATGTTGAAGAGACTCAAAAATAATCTTAAGAAAAAGAAGTTAGTATATTAAATGTAATAGATGATAGAAAGAAATCAATTTCTAGAAAGGTAAGAAAATTTCTTATTTGTTTGGCTAGAAGCTATAATTATCATCAACATTAAATTATCTATTTGAAATTTGGATATTGTGGATGTCTTTATTGGTTGAAACATTGCTGGCTTAATAATCTAATACTTGTAATTATTATCACAGAAGAGTATGACAGACAACAAGGTTGAAGTTGATTGAGTTTCACAATCTTATCTTATCTAAGTGCACCTCTACTAAAACATACTACATGACTGTGTCATGACGGTTGTATCATCGGTCTTACCTCAGATCTGGATCAAGAGGCCTGGAGCATTCTCATACATATCCCTTAAATATGCTTCTGTGGTCAACTTGAAAAGGACACTGCAAGCTGGTTTCTTGACGGCAACAATCAGGAGTGTATCTTAAATTCCTTGGATCGATACAGTTCATTCATGCTTAGCTGTGTGAAGGGCCATTTGTGGTACAGATAGAGAGGCTAGACACTAGGACACAGTTGAACAAGCATGTTTTAAACACTGCAATGTGAAAACAAAAAAATTATCAAATGGAAGTATCAGATGCCTCGATACTGGAATCCTCATTGAGAAATAAGGTTCATGCTTAGATCGATACAACTCATGCTGGCTTGGCTGTAGGAAGGGCCATCTACATCATAGATCGAGAGGGTAAACCCTTGGCTACTGCTAATTAAAGATGATTTGACACTGTAAAGTGAAAATAGTAATTCTATGAAATGAAAATTCACTGTACCTCAGTATTATTTGTAAGAGTCCTAATTGAAAAATGAGGCACGAAGCGACGCAAATCTTCCTTTATTAGCTGAATTGGATGCCAGGCACTTGGAATTGTTGTCTTTTCACAGGATCTTGAACGACGTAATTATGATGATTCTGTCACCAAAATATATCCCGTGCCTAGGATTCGAAAAACTGCTGATTATTGCGTATGATTGATCACGTTCAAAACAAAATGAACATTATTTGTAGAGCCTGAAAACAGAATTTCTGAAATAAGTTAAACATTCATGAACTAACTATAACACACACACACACACACACGTACATACATACATACATATATATATATATATATATATATAAAGTTTTTGTAGAGATTACTTGTCACCTAAGATTGAGTGGTGCATGCAGAACTTAAGCAGAATGCCAAAAGATTAGACGGATGAATAGATGGAACGTGATTTGAAGCTGAAACGTACCTTCAGCTAATTCAAGAGTCTAGGAAATATAACGCTCGTCGAATTCAGCCCGAATTCCACGAGCTCCCGGGGTTCCAACATCGATTGCAAAGCTGGGCACACGCTGCACAATAATATCTCCACCTGACTGTGATGGGCCACCCGCATAGTCTTCTTCGAGCAATTGATAGCAACGTCCCCGAGCCAGGGAAGATTCAGGTTGCTCTAGTAGTTCTGCGAGTCCTTTCAATTTATTCTGTGAACCATTCCACCACAATTAGTCAAGACTGAATATGCAGACTAAGGAAATTCGACGATCACTTGAGAATATCATACAAATGAAACTGATAATAAACTGCTATCTTCCGATTGCAGTTATCATGTGTGTACCCCTCTCTCTCTCACACACACAATTTGTATTTTTGTCTCTGTGTGCATCAAACAATTTAGAATGAATCAAGATCAGACTAGATGAAAAGGACAAATAGAACTAGGACACGCGTTAGATTTGCAAAGATAAAGTATAGCAAGTTACAGTTCTGGGATCTTTGAAGTCCGAATAGTCAGAAATTGTCTTAAATGGACTCTGGACACCAGTCGCGGGAAGATCAACGACCATTGGAGACTCTTCTACATCATTCAAAGTCACAGCCCGGAATCGGGAAAGCACAGTGTGTTCAAATTGCTGATATCTGCAGCTGGGCAACGATAAGCAAAATTGTTGGACTTAGTATTCCAGGAGTGTTGTCGGTATTCGACTTACTTCCCAACATGAACTAGTCTCCTAAATCCAACTTGTAAGTGTCTCAGACTCTGAACCTCTCCTCGAGAAATGGCAACAATTATTGATGGTAAATGAGGTCTGAGTAACACGAATCTGTTATTCAGATCACAACACCGCTTAAGTGGTAGGAAAGGGTGAAATGAGAACCACATACACGGAATCGGTCCAAATTAAAAAAGAAATCATGACTCAAGCAGCAGAGCATTCACGGAATATACTAAGTTGAATAGGAACTCCACCCGGAGCTGCACACTAAACGTCCAGAGCAGTCAGTGAAATATCTGCACCCAATGCTTGGTTACACGCTAATGACTGTAATTAGATAGAGTTCATCAAGACTAGTAATGTGGTGGCTGATACAAAAATTTGCAACTTTGCTTCCCGATAAGCTTCTAGAGCAAAACTATCATGGCTTTGAAGTGCAAAATAATTTGACGTTACGATCGGCCTGGTGCCGCTCTAGAGTTGAAAATCCCATTGGATATTTGCTGGCGATGTTGGAAACACAGCTACTACAGGATAAAGACGTTAACAGGTTCAGAGCCATATAACGTGCTGCTTCCTGCTCCGACACTTCGCGAACGACGAAACTTTACGAGAACCCTGCTGTACATCTAAGACGACGGGCTCGACGATGAGATTGTTATGCAATGGATCCAGTTTATCACAGCGCAAAAGGAATGAAAAGCCTAACAAGAATAAAGACAAGGGCTATCTAATCCATTATACCGATTCAGGACAGATGGATGAGAATCTAGAAGATACTTTTCAGACAAGCTGAATTCTAAGGACCCGTGATAGGTTTTGCATGCCATGCAAAGCAAGACCCGAATTATGGGTTGTATCTTTCTCGAGAACTCTGTCCTTCGGACAACCTTTTCAAGAGCCATGCTCCTGCTGGAACCCAATTTCACATGTCCTGACAGCCCTAATATGCAACTCGATCACATTGCGAATATCGAACAAATAATATGGAAATATTCCATATCGCTTGAGTCAAACGCAATTCTGAATTGAGAAATGACGATTACTGCGGTGTGGCCAGTGTAACCATGTGCAGTAAAGTCATGTATACAGGCCAAAGGCAGGAGACGCTAAAGACTGCTCATGACCGGAAACGAAGACCAAAACAGCATGAGGATAGTACTGCGAAAAACCGCAGCTCAGCATTTCGACTCCTGTAACCCAACAAGGTACTATCATATCACTGAAAGCTCGAAACCCTTTCCACCACGGGAATGGATCTCCAACTTTCGAAGATAAAAGCCCCACTCTAAATACGCAAGAAAGAATTCAAAGTACACGCGAGTTAGTCTGGTCGCCAAACAAGAAACCGGCTTGATTCCTGCTGTACACAGCGTTATTCGAATCGGAATACTTCACTACCAGAGTTTGACGTAGTGAACAAGCTTTTTAACTGCAATGCGTAGGAAACTACTTCTCCTCATCACAATTTACTGATTATAGAAACCATGAAATAAAGTTCAGGACATTGTAGTATTTCGCAACAGCATTCCCAACGTCGTTCTTTTGTGCACGGTAGACGGTCTTGTAGAGGTTATGATAGAGCTTGACAACTATTGGGTGCAACGTCTCCGACCACTGTTTTTAAAGCAAAGAGTTGCAGCACACTAGACGGTTGTTGCAACTATGGACCAATTCAACTTCGATCTTTCAGATGGTGCAACGTTCACAGTGCTCACTCGTGCAAGGCTTAGTGTGTGTAAATACAACAGGTTACGGTGTTCATTAGTTACTCAATAATATCCCAAGGTTTAAGAAAAAGAATCGTAGAAACGTGATCATGACTAAGATTCACAGAAAACGATGTCGACTTGAACCCTAGAGAGAGTTTCGAAAGACCTGCGGGCATACAATGACTTCTCTGAGCACGGAACTTTTTCACTTTTGCACATTGTCGTCGATCAGCAGTGCAGCGGAGAAGACTTACTTGTCCGGGAATCCACGGGTTTTTGCATTAAAAGCCTCAGCGGCGCCTTCCAATCCTTCATCACCTTCGCTTGTCGGCAAGTTTTCGGGTGAACGATAGTTCATGTGAGGAGATGGCGTTACCACCGTTTCAGGCCAGTTTGGAGGACAGCTTCGGGAGAGTCGTTCGTCAAAAGGAGGGGACAACCCATAATCTGAACGGTCCGGCATATTAAGGATGCGCTTTGCAGAATTTGATCTCGTACCTACAAAAAAACCATAACTAGATTGAAAAAGCCAGAAAGAGATGTGGAAAGTGTGCGACTCTAATCCTGAAACCTGAAAGAGCCATTTCGCGTTTCTGGAGTACAATGTAAGACCCCAAATGTTGGACCTGTGCTCGTGAGATGGTGGACGATTGAGTGATGGAGTAGACAGTGTAAAACTCAGCGTACATACTAGATAGCTGACGACGTTCCTCAGAAAGTTTCGAGTCTCATATTAAGAGCAAATACTAACAGGGAGACGATTTTTTCGGAGAGCACAGCTGATGAAGGAATTTCAAAGTACCAAAGCAGTGCACCTGAGCCAAGCATTAAAGTGTTTGGCAAGTGGAACTTTAGACCCTACAACACTCCGAAATTATGTTGGGAATGTCACCTCCAACAAATAAAGAACTTACCGTGTCAAATGTATGGAACACCAACGATGGCTGTTTGCAAGGGGGCGGGAGACCTGATGAGTCGAAGTAGTTCTCAAATCTTCAAAACTAAAAACGATGTCACGATAGAGAAGGAATGTAGACAATCCAGATGCATGAGATATGAGCAGAAGTGTATTGAACATTCCACATCATAGTGAGCGCGGCGCACGCCTTGGAGCACTTCACTCGCTACGTAAGTGATGCGAAAGGGATTGCATTCTACGACGGCGAGAGTGGTATGGAACTTGCGAGAGCACGAAGAAAGGAGTAGCGAATGCGGGGGGAGACAGGACACGCTTCAATCCTTGATCCCGACCACAACGCCGCCGCGAACAACGAAACACACCAGGCTTGGGGTTTCTGCTGCAGACACACGGACAACGCTTGACGTGTCGAGTAGTCTGGCTCTAAATATCAGGTGGTCTAGTCTGCCAATCTGAGGAAAAAAGAAAGTTGAACAGAGCTGCTATTGAAACAAAATCGTGAGGAGTAAAAACCGCGGATAACTATTAAAGTCAGTGACGAAAAAATGAATAAACAATGTTTACGTGAGTTTGATGTGAGGATGAAGTTTACTGACAGCACTGCAGGATAGAAGTTAAGGATCTACCAAGCAACTTCATCGTGCAGGTTCATGCTCCGTGATGGTTGCGATACTACGAGCAGATCCAGGTGGCAAGAACAACACACTTAGATTTCGGTTCCGAAATCAGAGTGTGCACCTGTGTTCATTTCATCACCGCAGTCCTTGCCGGAAAAAAAACAAACAAACAAGTAATAATAATAAGAAGAGAAAAAGGGATAAAGAACCTGAATTTATAATGGTAGGAAGCAGATGTCATTCATATTCTTCCCAAGGCCTACTTAATGAACTTCACGAACGCATCTGCAAGGTGGAGCAATAAGGTTGGTGAGATCTTTTTTACCCTTACTCTTTTTAATCGACCTTGGCTCAAAGTCAAAAATCAACATCACTAACTGTAGCAATCAAATCTAGTATTTCGACGCTAGATCGAAAGCACAAGTAAAAAAAAAAAAGAAAAAAAAAAAAAATGGTTTTTGAGTAACATGACTGTGAAAGAAGGCAGAAAACAGCTGGTGTCTCAAAAGAGGTGGCAACCAGTACGAGTAACCATTGCTACATGTGTCATTAGTTGTGAGCTACTTGTGATTAAAGCGTGGCATTTAAGTAACGGATGTTTCGTTCAAAAACTTTGGGCAAAATGCAACTTGGGCTGAAATGCTTGTAACATTGGCTCTCTCACAATACTGTTATGCAAACTGGAGTGAATCCTAACTTGTCACTACAGTTAAACAGGTCAATTGGGCAGATGCATGCAAAAAGTTTTTAATGTTATTATCTGAAACACAGGGGTAAACTATCACAGTTTCATTCTTCTCCCCTAATCTGTGGGAAGCTTCTATGCCAAATTTAAGTTCGAAACTTCCATCGTGTGCAACCACATAGGAAACGGCCAATGTCCGAAGTGGGACCAAGCCCTCACAAAATGACGGACTCATAAATTGTGGAAAAGACAAAAGTTTTCGTTTGCCTTAAAGACTCAGTATAATTATAAAGGAGACAAGGTATTTACTATCTATAAGAAGCCCAGAAGATGACAACCGGGCCAATCCCTTGTAATCAAGCCTGTGACAAAGAGAAAATGAACTCTAAACCTTTATGATAACTTAGTAGCCAGATTTTAAAATGCATGAACCTAAAATTACCAATGAAGAAGAAGAATTTTTGCTGTGATGAACTGTTAATTAAAAATAGTTTTTACGGGAGGGACTCTAGAAATTATCAGAACTTGCACACGAAACATTCACCAAATCAACTTTATTTACTATTTTAACCTAAAACTTACAAATAATTTTCAAGAAAGCATAATCAAAAAAATTCATACAACTTCCATTCACCTCAAAAACTCGTCATTACTATCAATGTGTTTAAACATAGTGTATAAAGAAGGAGATTAGCTAAAGTTCATACTATATCGTATGTCATGGATGACTCGGCATGGAATATCCAAGAAATATGGTGTCTTGTAGGTGGCAGGTCCGATCATAGAGCACTCCATATTAACATATACACCAAATAGAAGTTCTGTGACTACATTTTTCTTTTTTTTTCAACACTTTATGTTATCATTCTTTTTCTTTGTCTTTTTCTTTCCTTAATTTTTTTTCTGAATTCTTTGTGTGGACTTTTGTTCGTTTTTGTAGATAAAATATAAGGTGATTGTATATATAAAAATACGTGTGTGTGTGAGAGAGAGAGAGAGAGAGAGAGAGAGAGAAAAGGTTGTGCACTGTGCTTGATTGAAACTTCTGCAATTTTGATTGTTCCTCCATCCAAGGTTTTGTTCTCTCTTCAAAAAAGAGGAAAGAATGGTTCTCATGTTACGATGAAACCATCAAATTGTCAACATGTTTTCAAAATAAATTTAAATTTCGTGAGAAAGAACTATTCTCGGATATTCCAAGCAATACCCATAGTTTCATTCTTGGAAGCAGTGAATTAATCCATTTTTGAAACAATATTTTCTTTATTTTATCACTGTAACCTCATTTACATCAAACTGTAAGTAAGGCAAAAGACATTATCTTTTAAAATCGTAAATTATTAACGAATAAATATAAAATTTATTTATCGTATAGTATTTGAAGTTTTTCTTCCTATTTTCATTGTATTCTTAAAGATAACCATTCACCCCATGTTTTGGATCGATGTAATCCACACGCATCCATCCATCCATTTCTTCTATCCACATTCCTCTGTACACAACCATCCACCCCTACTTTTCCATCACAGATACTCAATTAGAGAACAAAAAACAGAAAAGACCAAAAAACAAAAAATAAATAAATAAATAAATAAGGAATGGAAAAGACACCAACAGATCACACTCCAAACCTTGCAGTAAAAGCGCCTTGTGATATTTTTAACAGAAAAATATTTAGTTGATTCAAGCAGTGAACCCCGTGTTGATTAAAACGAGTCATGTACTCACTAAACTAGTGCCTTTTTCTACTACCATTCAAACAAAGAAACTAATTCAGTTTGTGTTCGAACAGTCGACGAATGATGCGGCTCACATCAGTGTCACAGAGCCGCAGTTCAATAGATTTCCATCCAAGCGTGCTTGTCACTTGGCGTTGAAAAGTGCGGTGGCGTAGGAACGAAGCCTTTTGCGTGACCCCAGCTCACTCCCGCCTGAAACAGTGTCCACTAGATCATCATCGTCGTCGTCGACAGACCGTATTTCGACTTCAGTCACACGACCTCGGCACATCGTTGCGGTGCATGCACTGTGCGCTGTGTCAATCAGTCTGAACGAGCCATTAGGGTGCGACCTGAGAGGCTCTCCAAACAACATAGGTCTGCTCGGGAACTACAGTTTCGAACACGTCCTGGCCCCGGCGTTGCTGCACTACATCGTATTCATTTGATGCTGCACGAAGGTGTTGTGCAAGGTGTTGGAGCATTTGAGCCATCCTGACCTACGAGAGAAGAGCACAACTACTATTGTGATTTTTTTTCTTTTGCCTGTTGTCGTCATCATCAGACACTCATCGGAAGTTACCGATTTTGTCGGGGTCGGTGTGTTTCGACGAAGCAGTAGGTGGGGGGGATGTGAAATGGCGTGAGTTGCCATGTTGACGCATTAGTCTCGAGAGCACGGCGAGAGCACAATGCTGCTGAATGCACTTTCTGTGTTGATTAATGGAGATTCGAGGTCTGCAATAGCCTTTGGTGAGCATCTTGAGCTCTAGGTTTGTTTCCGAACTTGTTGAGGCCCTGAAGTTGAAAAAATTATTCTTTGTCCTACCCAACATCCCAGTCGACTCCAGCCAGAGAAAAATGTTTTTGAAGATTTAGAACGATGCGATTTTAAACTGTCAGTAAAAATGGTACTCGATATAAGTGTTCCTCTTGCGCTATACATGTAATACAAAATGCATCATCTATAGAATGTCTTGAGGTCACTCTTAAAACACCACCCACAGAGCTGGGTAGCATGCACGTTTGGGTCCAGCTTATCAAAATACTTCCTTGTTCCCCTTTGACAAGAAGGGTTACCATGATGAACCTCATCTAGGCGATGGTTCTATGATGGGTGACGCACCAAATAAACCAACCTAAGTTTTGTGGTCATCTCAAAAAAAGTGCTGAACAGTAGGTGCGGTTTCAATCAAGTAGACTTACACTTCTTTACTAGATGAAGCTGTTGGTTGTTCTCTGCGATGTATCACAATCTCCTCAGTGTTGATGCTGTGGAACGATTCCAACCCGGTACTTTGCTCCGCTTGCATGAACAGAGCACATTTAAGTTCTATTATGACAGGATAGCAACTTCAAACTTGACCACCTTTGGTTGCGAACTACTGAAGAATTTGAGATCGAGATAACATGACCTCGCGAGTTGGAACAACTGTAAGTTCAGCTTTCTAAAGTACGTTTTTTGTTTTCCTAGACACAGTCAATCGCCTTCGTTTGCAGATTATACTTCCAAACATCATCACCGACTGTTAAAGCTTAAGTTGCGTGGGTATATCTCCATCTTCTTTCATGTACTCATGAGAGCGATGAGCTGTTGATGTTACGAAGAACTTGTAATACCAACTGACGTTGCTGATCCAACGATGAAGCTGTGGTTTGAGATACAGCCTTGTGGAGAAGGTAATTCGTCGAAGTTTGGAACTCAGGAGAAAAGCAGAAGCCTGTTTACTTTCAAAGAGCAAACTGAGGAATTTCTATGAGCGATCCTTGGATATCTCTGTGTAAGTCTGTGAGGCATGAAGGTAAGCTAGTGCGAATAAGTCTGATTTTCGTTCTGAGCTGCTGGTATTTTAACTATCGAGTTATGAGATGGCTTAGGGTTGGGTCTTCTAGAACAGATATTCACCGTCGTCAGCCGGGTGTTCATAATTCATCTTTGTGGCTTTTGTGAAGCACCTGAATAAAGTGTTGATATACGAGAAGACCAGCTTCCAGAATCCTGCCTGGATGTTCATCTCTCAATTTGCTAATCTGGTAACAGGTAGCGAACTTGACGACTGGAGAGTGTTGCAGCTTGTGCTAGTGCGTTGGTGTTAGTTTGCTTTGAAACAAGGAGGATGAACTTCAAGTGAACGTTAGGTCCTTGCTTTAAAAGATTTGCTTCTCAAATCAGAGATCGTACTGCAGAGTGCCATGGCTCCAAGTAAAGTTTGTAGCGCCATGAAACAGGTAGTTGGCAAACCATTTTCGAGTCGCCAATGCTGTGAAGATCGAGGTAATGGTACACATCGTTTACGTAACTGGGGTCCAGTTTAGTCTACTTTGCATTGTCAGCAAAATCAGTCGACGGGGCTACGTCGTCCTTTGCATCGTTTTACAAGGTTGCAGATATCCAGCGGCTACCTGTGGGACCTCCGCCAAGATCACAGATTTTAAGGGGAAGACATCGTCTTCTTACTTGAAACTGGTCGGTACATCTCTTACCCCAGCGGCCCAGCTTCTTCATTCGTTGTCGCTCTGATTCCACAAGCTTATGAAGAAACTGTACACATCAGAAAGGTAAGCATCAAATATATCTTACCAGTCTGTTGCAGCTTCTCTTTTTCTTAACAATTTTTATGTATTAAAACAACAGAAAAGAACAAAGGGTTGCAGAAGTGGAGCTTTTCCCACACAAGCGCACGAAGAAGAAGAATGTATGACCGACTCATCAGTTACAAGTGTGACCGAGACGATAGGACTCTCTCAAACAATGACTCTATCGCCATGGACTCGTATATACCCTCTGAACTCTCCACATTCATTCATTTTTCCCTTGATAAGACATCGCAACCAGCTTGAAGTGCTTGAAAGGTGTTCCTGTAACTACTTGATTGAATATTTCTCCGCCAACACATGGAACTGTGCTGGAGATTCACCACGCTTCCAAGAGATGCTTGCAATCGCAAACCCTCCTACTCCCTTGGCACTGTTGTTATGGAGGCAATGCCTCCTGTTTCCTGACAGGAAGGACCCATGGTTGCACGTCGACCCTTGACAGCCGCAACGATCCAAGAGGCTCCAACCGAGATATTCTAGAATGTGGTCCGCTCGCTGACATGTCGTAAGATACTGTGGGCCAGAGATCATTACGTTGCTCACGTCACGGTCAGTTACAAGTGTGCCTACATGCAAGAGGCTCAGAGTGTCGGTGCCCATGCTGCGGCAGCAGAGTCGATAAACGCGACACACCAGGTGAAGTACATTCCTGTCGCTAGTGTATTTATATCAGGAGCAATTGACGGCTGAAAGAAGAAAAAAAACACACTGGGGACTTCTAAATTTGTGCTTGCACAAGTCTTCCTCTCCTTTTATCGTAACTTGTGTGTGTGAGACAATCGACAATGGCTATCTAGGTGCATGGGAAGTGACCAGTTAGTTTGAGTAAAGAGTACACCTCGTACGTGTCCAAAAAAAAAAAAAAAAAAAACAAAAGAAAACAAACACTTCAGAGATAGTATTGTGTCCATGACAGGCACTTGTGCTCATTCAGGGCTTTCCGTGAGCGTCTCATAGAAGTGTTTGATAGTCGCTCAACGTTCTGGAAACGAAGAAGGTAATACACTGCATGGCCTAAGTTAGAATTAGGATTTTTTATTTTTTTATTTTTATTTTTTATGCTGCGGTGCTTATAGCAAATGTTGAGGCAGCAAGAGTAATAGAACATGAAGGACCCTTAGGTGGTGTTTGCTCAGTTGAGGCAGTAGAGCAGACACAAATGGAGAGCTTGAGCCCCTCAAAGTAGTACACCAAGTCATGAGTTCTTAGAACTTTCTTGAAATTTGGAGATTTGTGATGTAGGGACTGAAAACTATATCATTGAAGTTACTATTGAAGTTGCGAAACAACAAATGTTGTATCTAGAATGTTTGTGGTGATAGTTGGGTTTATTGGATGTAAATCCATTGATTTGTCCTAAAAATGAAAATTTTCTCAGTTGCAGAAAAATGAAAATATACTTTGAAAATAAAAAGAAGCTTTGTAAAAGATTTAAAAACACAAAAAAAAATAAAAAATAAAAAATAAAAAAATCTATAGAACAGTATTTTTGTTTAATTTTCTATATATATATATATATATATATATGGTTTTATAATATAACATAATTACATTCTATTCGGAAATTTTATTAAAAAAGGATAAATTAAGCTTTATAAGATAATGATTTTAGCAAAATTGTCATAGAGAAAAAAATATCATGTTTATATTTCTTTTAGCAACTTGTGTTGTTGTATAATAAGTTGATTACAAAGAATGTTTGACACAAGCTCAACCATGACATGTGGTTTGAGCTTGTGTCAAACAGTATATTTTCCTTGCTGAAGAAGAATGCTTAAATTGAAAAAAATATATATATGATGTCTGTTTGACATAAATAATTTATAATATTTACAAGGCTAAAATTGAATTATTAAAAATAAGATGTTATGATTATTATTTTTTCAAATTGTATATGATTCTACACTTGAATCGTAGTCTAGAACAGTGGTTGAAGGAATTCTTTCGGCTTTAATTGCCCGAAAATAATCTTATCTTTTTTAAACCTCCCAAATGAAAAGTGAAAAGCTAAAAACCTACACAATAGTAATACACATCAAAATTGCTTCATAGATTTACTTTCTTTCACATTTATAAAAATAAATACTTAACAGGTGTATTAAAATAAAAATAAAATCCACGACGTAGGATTTGCAATGTCAAATTATAACATTGCACACGTCCTCTATAATTGCCTCGTAAAGTGGGAAACTTTTCTTCAAAATTAGATATGGTTTGATTCTCCCGGCACACACAACACACATGTCAGTTATACAAAAAGAAACAATTTATTATTTTAAAATTAGAAAATGAATCGGTAACTTCGTGCCAACTTTCAATATATATATATATATATATATATATATATGTGTCTATCTATATATATAGACAAGCAAGTGAGGTCACCAAATCACCCATGATTGAATGATCCAAATGGCCAAATTCTTTCACCAACTAACGATTGGAGCAATAAATTTTCACAACACGTGAAAGAATTTCCATGGGTCCCATCCAACGTGGCAAATATTATTGAAGGATCTTCTAAGAAAAGGATAGTGCGAAGGGTAGAAAAGGACCTAATTAACGTCCACTTTGGATGAATGCTTTTTCTTTAGTGTTGGTCACCGTGCCGACCTGCGAACAACAAAGCCACCAAATTCTGTCCTAAAAAGTTTGATGATGCTTACTTTGGTATGATTGGAATTAGTGCCTTTTAATAAAAAGTAAATGGATATATTGTGGATTCTCCGCCTTTAAGCTGCAATGCTGTCAATCTTATTTTTATTTGTTTAATCTTGTGTGTTGTCGAAGCTTATGTCATCACTAAAGTAGTACGATCGAAGTGTGTCAGGGCATAAATGTAAATGAGACCTAAATGTAAATGGGACATAAATGTTCGTGGATACCACATATTGAATATAATTTTACCGACAGTTAATATACTACAATAATTTGCACAGAAATTGTGCCTACAATTTTTTCCTTATCCGATTATGATTTAAGGCATGATTTTGTTGTATTTTAACAACTACAAGTTTTTTGCTTAATTGTTTTTGGAACTTGCGTGGGTCATTATCTCTACGTCAGCAATCGTTTGACCAAGTCACGGGTTTTTAGCAGTGCCTACAATGCTCATGTAATTCAAAATTTAATGGTTTCAAAATTGATGGTATTAGATTTCAGGTCTTAATTCCTTGTTACATTAATACTGCTGTTAATAAAAAAAAATCCAATGATATATTTTCTTGGATTATTAGTTATAATTTAACTGTAAAGAAATGCTGCCTAAAAAATACTAGAAAACAGAGATCAACCTTTAGAATGATTTTGTGCCGATCTGAAATATTATTCAATATATTTTTATACCGGAAAATTGTGTGAATTCCATTAAATAACTTCTTTTAAAAATATTTTTTCATTTTGGAGTTTGAGGACATCTTTTGAGAACTCCATATAAAATCCAATGAATACTTTATTGCATTAAACACTTCTCTTTAATAAGAAAACTCCTCTTAAATTGGACAATCCTTGCGTGGTCAAAGGAACATTCGAATCAGTATAAGAATATCAATACATTGAAGCTTGTCTTCATCCTTCGTACTTTGTCGTATATGCATCACATTGCGTTTCTCAAAATAGACATATTTGTCAGATTTTTGAACAGGAAAGTGAAGTTCACCTAAAACTTGAAGTATTGGATGTTTCTCAGTTTGATACTACAACTAGGGTCTTTGGAGTGTGAAGACAGTAAAAAAAAAAGCACCGGGAGTGACTGAGCAAGTGACTTTGCTACAAAACCACCCAAATTTCGAGGCAGTTTGGACAGAGACGGACGCCGAGCCGAGGTTTCTTCGAGACTAGGCTTCTACGTGGCGTCCTTCTCAACTAAGGGCGAGCAAACAAGCAAAGCAAGTAAGCAAGCACTGGGCTCCAACTTCTCCATCTGTCTTAGATTATCCCTCAACCTTAAACGACAGGTTCTCTTTTTTTCGTTAGATTGCGAGAAGGCGGTGCCTATTACCACAAGGTACGTCTGGCAGGTTCGGTGAAGGACACATCGGTGGTGGAGCCATCCGCACACATCCAATATATATATTATATACATACACATTCATGAACATCAGTTGTGCATGTGTGTGCGTGTGTATATAGATCGATCGATCTGACCCTGAGAAGTGAGATGCTGGAGCAGCACAGCGAGTGAGTGCCCCACTGGAGAGTACCATTCCCGGGGGACTGCTTCTGGAACTGGTCTTTGATTGTGTGATCGTGAAAGTCGTGCTACCTTGGATCGGATGTCGTCATCGGGTTCGCTTGTGACGCACATGGTGTTCGATATTCAGCAGGATGGGACTGATTCTTGGTTCTATCACGACGCCATTCTCCTTTCTATTCTAAGGTTCGTGCTCTTTCCAACTTGCTAGCTGTATCAACTTCCAAACCACACATGTGGCTCTTGGACGTGGGCTTGTCTACAGTACTTGCTCGATGAAGGGGCAGAGCGAGGAGGGGCGAAGGGGCTGCCATCTCTCAGTTGTCTGCTGAGCGACCTGGACACAACACAAGAGGAGAAGCTGCTCGAATTCGTTGTGCCATCTTGGTTGCAACTTGGTAGATCAACCTGGACCCAACAGAAGATGCCTAGCTGATCGACTTTGTTGTGCCATCTTGGATAAAACTTGGTAGATCGATACTAACCTAACACAACTTGCTCAATTGTTTTGGACTTCGTTTAACACAACTTGCTCAATTGTTTTGGACTTCGTTGCAGCATTAAGTAGCAACTTGAGAGATCTACCTGGACCCAACACAAGATGCAGAGTTTCTAGCCTTGATTGTGTTATGTTGAATGTAATTTGTCAATGTTGCAAGATTGTAGATTGTTTCATAGAACTTACACATTATTGTACATATCAATTAGAGGGACTTTGTTTTTATATCGTTCATTCTAGCATCACCATCATATTTCTTGATTATCATGATTGAATGTATTCATGATTTACAATTTGTTCATTTTGTTTCATAAATGTATATACTTGATGTCTGATAATAAAAATAACAATGAGAAAAAAAATAGTTTGTTATTTTCATTGTCATGCATGAAGTATGAGTATATTTATAGAACAAGATTGACAAGTTGTAATCCATGCATGCATTTAATCATGATAATCAAGGAATAAGATGGTGATACTATTGAGATAAATCTTTGATCAAAATCTTTTCAATTGATATACATAATAATGATGTGTAACTTTCATGAAAATAATTTACAACTCCAAAGCATTTGTAAATTCCATTCAAAAATAATACTATCAAAGCTAGTACTTCAACAACATGTGTTGAATTAGAACAATTAAAGGTAGTGATGGTGAATTCAACTTTGATGGTGTATTAGATCATATTAATCATGAATTGTAATTCTAATGCTTTATGGATATATTTAATGAGAGTCATTTCAATTGCCTACTCAGCTGCTAAGTATAAGTTACATGAAAATAATCCAGTGTGTTTATTTATTGAAACGTTACATGGTAGATGATACAATCAGGATTTACGAACAGCAAGATGGTATTGGGTCATGATGGTTAAAGAATGTGCTAGTGATGCAACTGTGAACTATCTAAGCTCAGAGCTCATCGTGATGCAACCAAGAACGATCTGAAATCAAAGTCCCTCTAGTTGTTAAGCACAATAATCTGCAAGTCTCATGAAAATAATTCAAATTCGTACAGCACTGTCAAACCCAAATTACTTCCAAAATGGAACAACAATGTCTAGCAACTCAAGGTCGCTCCACCAAGAGCTAGGAGACGACAACCTCCTCTTTCTCCTCTTACTCGTAAATGTTGTAGATAAGCCCCACGTAGAAGGGCAACACGCGTTAGGAAGCTGATACAGCTTGATACAGCTTGCAAGTGGTGAGACCACGGATCTTTCGATCGAGGGGGAGTGGCGTCGTGGTAGATCCACGAATCGGCCCCATCCTCCCGAATATCGAACGCTACGTACGTCACAAGCGTGGCAGATGACAGCATCCGACCTAGGCAGCACGACTTTTGGGCTGGCGGAGACTGAGACCAGTTCCCAGAATCAGCTTCGTTGGGAATAGTACCTCATGTGGGGTACTCGCCGTGCTGCAGTGTCACCTCTCCTGTCGATATACATGCACGGACGATACATATGTATATTGTGGATGTGTGCGCCTACACCACAGATGTGTGCTTCTCCGAATATGCCGGACTTATCAAGTGATGGGCACCGTACTCTCGCAATCTAACGGAAAAAAGAGCACCTACCGTCGAGAGGTGGGTAAGAATGTAGGACTAGCGGAGAAGTTGGGGTCAAGTGCTTGCCCTAAGGTGGGAAGGGAGGAGGCGTAGGGCCGACGGAAATGTGGGTCAGCCCCCGAGCAGCCATTTAGAAACCAAAATCTCGACGAAAGCTCGGTTCTGCTTCTGGCTTGTATTGTGGTAACGGTTTACCGCGTGGTGGGTGTAGTTCGTATGCTGTGAACTCCATTTCCTGTGCACGTGTTCGGTCCAGATGTGCAGTGCTGTGAGAGTCTTGTTTGCACCACTGACGGAGAGGTGTAAACTTCTCTGTTACTGTAACCAAAACCTGGGTTTCTTTTTTGATGTCCGCATTTGTCAGAAAATGAACAGGTTTTAGTCTAACTCAACGTCAGCAGAGAAGATTTAGAAGCTGAGTAGTACACGGGCGTATCGCCATCTAGTTCTAATTCCTGCCGACAAGTTTCATAGTAGTGATCGTGGATTTCTGGAGATGCCTGATCACAATCGAGAAGCTCACCCTCTGCATACATTGGGCAAATCTGTTGGGGAAGATGGAGTTGTGAGATGCCCTAACTGTCCGGGTTTGACGAGGGTTACGTTTCAAGCAGAATGTATGTGCTGCGGCCGCGAGGTCGCGCAGTCTCAGGATTCTGGAACAGATGACATAACAGACTCCGTGCAAGCCTTATCCATTGGGTCGGAGGTGCCAGAAACTCCCGTTCCGCTGCCTGCATGTCGAGCTTTTGTTGGGGAATTCAGACACCTGCTCTCGTTGCAGCCAGTTCAAGTTCATATACCAGAAGACAGGAGAAATAATGTTGCTGTACCAAGAAATCTCAACAGCATATTCAATAGGTATAACTGTATTATTTTCACGGCCATGTTTGGGATGTAATTGGTTATTTAGTTTCCATTTGCAGCTCGAATGCAGTCATCTCAAACCAAAGTCGACATGTATTCTGGTTGGATAATGTAGAAACACACTCAAGAATTGCCGCTTGCCTTGAATTCACCAGTTGATAGTTTCTTGCTCTGCTGCACGGTGCCATTTATCAGATATATGGTTTTGGAGCAGATGGTCAACATAAGTTTCTTCGTGAATGAACGATTCTTTTGTTGCAGAAGCATAATGCAAAAATGTGTTCGGTTCTAAAGATTTGATTCTTATTTCAGGGTGGCTCTGCATCCTCGAGTGTCCTCAACACTTCATAATAAATTAACACAACGTTTGTTCAAATTTCGAAGTTGACGTCCTTCAACTTATCTTGAATCATGCTTCACTGATGTGCAGATGTGAGCTTACAAGGAGGCAACGAGTTGAAACAGTCAGCAAGTTGCAGCTTCCCTATCGTTCTAGAAACACACTCAGGACTTTATTCAGACAACTGCAACATGAACGTCGGCCACCTTCGCAAAGGCGTTGGGCAAGGAAGGGCATTTGCATGAAATCATCGTTACTGCAGAGGAGTCCGAACCTGCAAACGCGTCAGGAATAATGTGGTCGGCATTCGATCTTTCAAATTGGAAAAAGGACATCTGGAATGGATCTTATAACCTCAGCGGCGAAATTGCAGGAGCTTATGATCCTATTTTCAACTAGTCATAACATGTAATTTTGTAGACCAGTTCGTTATATTGTGAAGCTTGAATCCTTGTAATTAATTTGATTAGAGATTCTGTTGATTTAGTCTTTGATCCTTGTCTGCACTAGACGATTGGATCTTACATCAGGGACAACAACCGTGGTCATTTATCAACCACCGGTTTCGATGCCGAAGGCAAGTGAACCAGCGACAGCAGTATCGAAGACATATTGCTGGGGAAGGGGGACTCATCGACCCTCTCTGGTACTTCTTTTCATCTCTAAATTTTAGTCTAGTCTCAGAAGTAGGGAAATAATGGCATGTGTTGGCAGGTTTTTTGTTCATTGAAGGATAAGTGAACCGCGTCAACACAATTTATGACATCTTTTAAGCGCAAAATAAAGTTGGAGTACCGTTGATTTGAACATGGTTTTAATTCTTCTTCTAACTAGGTGCGTTTCTTTACTGATGCGTGAACTTGCCACCCCAGATTAGTATCACCATCCTTTGTGTTGTACTTGAGTTGGAAGTAACCATCTTCCATTGCAGATTATCACATCGCATTGCTGCGTGAATTATCCTCACCCAAGTACCTTCTCGCTTTTAAAGTTTCTGCATTTAGAAAAAGAATAAGTAGTTTGGTTTTCTCACCTTTCCTTGAGTGAGTCTCTCGATGCCCCTTCCTCATATGTTCTGTACACAGGTAGGTAAGTCCTTTCAGTCTTCGATCTCTCTTTGTTGAGTATATGAATCAATTGAAATTATGAAGATTACTAGCATATCTCACGTCCATGGTACAGAGAGTTTACTCAACTGCAGGAAGGAATGGACACGTCCATGGAATTAGTTCATACCGCGTCTCATTTGATTTAAATATCATTCATATTCTAGATGTGTTGAATCTGCTGGCAGTGTAATGGGTGTATGAACCAGTTTTCCGTTGCATAATTGAGATCGTATTCAAATGACCTCGACCGGAAAACGAGCCGCTAATGTCCTGTCTCTCTACCAGAATAATCGCTCTTCAACAGCAAACTTGGTACGGCATCATCCTCGCTAAGATATCTGTTCGTTCGGTTTATTGGATTCAACACGATCTGTGTTCATTCGGTTTATTGGATTCAACTCGATCTGTGTGAAACCATGTGGTCAAGAGTCTCATGTGTTTGTGAACAACCACGTATTAAGTATTGTTTGTTACCATCTAAAAGTAGACGTTAGCTGTTGTGTGTCCACTTCACTGCTTGAAGAACCTTGGGACTAACTGGAAAAAGTGAACCAACTCTGTGAGGTCTGCACATGATGTGCAACTTCATCTTTTAGGTGTTGTCTTGTTGATAATGACAAAACTGTGATCTTGTGATTATGAACGCTGTACTCTAAGATACCGTATGTACAGAGTGATGCCCGCGCACATGACAGGAATTCGTTCAGTTAACTGCAACAGCGAAGACCTGTTGAGGTGCCATTGTCTTCAGAAACGTGATTGGTAGGATGTAGCAAAGGGTATGTGCAAGCTTCACAGGCAGCACAAGCTTCTCCAGCAAGAGTGCCTTACTTTACATTATACCTCCTCCACCGATGTGGTAATCACTGGGTCATCTCCAATTCAGTGCTCACCCACCTCGTAGAAACCACTCACTCGAAGCTCGCCGTTGATGGTCAAGATCGTATACTTAGATCCTAATGCCTTGCAACGAACTACTTGTTGCTGTTTCAGAGCATCCTCTCGCATGTCGGCACTTCGGCACAACCACATGGTTCCTGTGTCTCAGCAGGCATGTCTCATTCATCGCAGACCTGTGGCCGAAGCTGGTACTACTATAGAATTTTCCATCCCCAGAGGAGCATTGTAACACGCAGCATCTTGAAGTCATTCGAGATAGGCTATAGAGAATCAACCCAGGCTGTGCGCAGACTGTGCACTGTGGAGGATGATTCTTTTGAAATCAGTATTCGTCCAATTCTAAGAGTTTCTACATATCGAATATGGAATTATTTAACATACCTGCAAAGGTTTGTTTGTTATTGAATAGTTCAAGCCAAGGGCTTTTAAGCAATAAACTTTGACAAGCAAACTTACATAATCATAATGGTCATAATATATTTATATATATATATATATATATATATATATACAAAAAATTATTTGGTAGTCACATTAATCATTTTACATTTTATTTCAACATTATCTGATCTTTAAATTTAAGTTTTAAAGCTTATTTTCTTTTAAATTTATATTGAGAGATTTGTTCTAAAATATAGCACCATTAGACGTAATGCATATAATTTCTTAATAAATACAATTTTAATATTTTTTAATTTCAAAAATGTGTATGTTGTTTAAAGTATTACCTATTTAATACTGAAATTACTTGTAATAGCGTGTCACCAATTAATTGAATATTTCAGCTGAATTGAATGATTGATTAAATATGAAAGTGTCTCCATTACAATTTTGATTTAAAATATTTACATTATTATCTTATTTTTAGTTTAAAATATAAAGACACACACACACACACACACACACATATATATATATATATATATATATATATCATTCAAGCTCTGATGATGTTTTTGGTTTCCTGTGTTTGTGCTCCACCCACAAATTATACTCTCAACAAATTGGAATAACATTTAGTTCTGCGTAGAATTCAATTCTGGCTCTAACTTTCATGCTTATGTACTCCATCAAAAAATATTTGCTCAGTTTTCCTTCCGTCTTGAATTTTTTCAAAGAAAGTTTTTTCAATCAAATGATTAATCTAAATTTTTGAGAAATTAAATATAATTAAAACTAAATTTACGACCAAATGCTAAAGAAAAGCACTACAAATGACAAATACCAAAATGAAAAGAATACGAGAAATAATACACTCAAGGATTTGAAGCTTTTTCAATACAAGGGTTGCTGATTTTGGCTTGGCCAGAGTATCTTACTTTTAAAGTGATGACTAGTTAGACCTCAATGACAAAGCACACAAGAAATCAAATACCAATGGTGCAGAAAATGCAGCCAGGCAATGCTTTAACTTAGCGGCAGAGCAAGCAGGAAAGGAAAGGAAAAAAATAAAAATAAAATAAAATAAAATAAAAGATATTGAATCACAAGAGATGCACTTGCAACCCTCTTGTGCATGGAAGCTTGAGCTGTAGTATGATAGAAAGCATGGCATTACTGTAGATGGTTAACAAACTGTTCAGACTGGAGTAATAGAAGTTGGTAATTTGTTACATGATTGGTGACTGGTACTTGTGTTACAATATAATACTCACAAGTGCATTGATGTTTATTTATTTATTTATTTATTTATCATCTAGCACACTATATAATGCCATCCTTTGAGGCACTTGTTTGCCTTTGTGATAAGCTGGTTGATTCATTTTATGGTGCTGGTGAAAAGAGCTGAATCCCATGAAGAATTGAAGTTTGAAGCACTGCTTGATGTTTGCATTCTAATAAGAGAGATGGGAAAGTGTTGAATACTTCTTTCAATGTGAGCATTGTTTTTGGGTGCAATGTCAATGGCTGTGAAACCTTCAGTGAGTACCCAAGAGAGGGGCCTAAAGTGGTATTGTTGAGCAGAGATTTGGGATTTATCTCCTTCTCTGCTTGTGACAGTTTGGATGCAACAGCAATAAAATAATAACAAGGGATTAGAACATAAGTGAAGCTATTGCAAAACATGGTCAGGAGGAACTTGATAAGGAAGGGATTTGAAAGAAGTTGAAGCAACTAATGAAAATCTTGTGAGAGAATCAACAACTTGTAAACTACAATATACAAACTCAAATAAAATCCTCAAGCTAAACATGTTGAATTTTTTGAATAAATGATCTTATTTATTTAATTGGATCTTTTTATATCACAAAAATATGCAAAAAAATTGGCAGGTATCAATTCTTGACCAGTTTGCTAAACATTTTATTACTTGTGCCAATGTATTTTTATTTTTTTTCCTTTTAAGCAACTTATAGGAGTCTCAATATTTTTATTCTTTTATTTTTTATATTTTTATGTTCAAAATTATTGATATTCAGGCCAAGTAGTTTTTGAATAAGAATCTAAAATATTAAATACAATCATTTTCTATCTAAACTACTTTACTATCTTTTGTTGTATATAAATTTTATTTTATTTTAAAAATTTACAATAGAAATATGGCTAATTTAGAAATTACAAATAAATATTATAATATTATTTTTAAAAAATTAAAAAATAATATATATATATATATATATTATTTTTATTTATATATATAATTATTTATTTAGTAGTTTGCCTCAAAGGTATTTAGTAGTTTTCCTAAAAATTCTTTCAATAGTAATTATAGTATTTAGAAGTATTATATTTAAAGATAGAAAGTTAAAAGAATCTAGTCTTCTTGAGCTAAAATACATTTTAAAGTTTAAATTTGCTAAGTTTTATTTTAAATTTTTGTTTCATGATAGAATAAAATATCGTATTCAAATTATTATTTTAAATATTTAATCCATTTTAATCCTTAAATATTAAAATTAAAAATTAAAAAAATATTTTTACTCATTCTGTTTTTTTTAATTTGTTTAATTTTTGCATGTTACTTAACATATAGCAACATAAAATTAAATATTATCAATATAAATACATAAATTCACACATTAATTTTACAATTGTGGTCTAAAACTTGGCATAAATTATTTTCTAGCAAATATTGCAGATGTTTCGTGATCAAAATGTTATAAGTTTTTAAAAATATTTATTATCTTGTAATTTTATAATATTTTAAAATTATATTAAAAATTAAATTTTAATATCAAAAACACTTTTAGATTGATTTCAACAATATTTTTTTATTTTATTTAAACGCTGTATTAATTACATACTTTAACAATCAAAGAAATATGTATAATATTTTTAAAAGCTACAAAATTTAAGATTATATATATATATATATATATATATATATATATATATATATATATATATATATATATATATATATATATATATATATATATATAAGGATGTTAAAAGAAAATATATTTAAGATTTATTGCTAAAATTATTAATTTTTCAAGTAATAGAAGATTATAATGAAATATATTTACATACATATATTTGGATATATTAAAAAAACAAGAGTCTATTTAGATTTTCATAAAGTTGATTTTATTTATATGTAGAATTTAAATACGATTTTTTCCTTTTATTTTTTTATTTCAACATATATATATATATATATATATATATATATTTTAATTCAAATAAATCCAATCTTTATCATTAAAGAATAAGCACTAATACAACACAAGAGAGGAATTTATGAAAACTTATTGAAGCATTATATATAAATATATATACACAAAATTTTAAAAATCATAATTATTATTTTATAAAATTTGTATTTATGAAATAAAAGATTCATCCAATATAGCAAATATGAATTAAAAAAAAGTTAAAAATAAATATTGTATAATAAATATAGAAAATAGTAAATACAATACTTACTACTTACTTTTTATTACAAGTGCTAAATTTTGTTTTTGGTTATATTTGTTGTATCTTATTAATAATAATAATAAAAATATTATATTTATATTGTATAAAAAGTTTCAGAATCAAAACAAAGTGTGATCAATGTGTTGTCATTTATAAATAATGCACAATCACTATTCATTTTATTTTTATATACAACCATAATTTTCACATCAACTTCACAGGATTCTAGAATGTGATAATAAAATTCTACTTAGTTCAAAATTTGAATACAATCATTTTAAAAACTTGACTAACTGCTACAAAACAAGAACAAACCTACAAACATAATGTTTATTATAGTGTGTGTGTGTAACTATATATATATATATATATATATATATATACTTAAATTTGAAATTTTATTCAATTTTCAGAATTTAAAGATATTAAGCCCAATTCACAATTATACTAACCAGTACTATAAGATATTTTTCAAAACCAACACAAAAACATTTATGCATCTTTAACATAAACACTTCTATAAAAACTTACAACCAGCTACTGTAATTTTATATTGAAGAAGAATTTCGATACCAAGGATGAAAATTGTGGGACTTCGCAACATACAATCCCAAGTTTCTTACGCTACACTTGGATGAGTTTTGTTCACGCCGCATATCCTATGTCGTCCACTCAAGTCAGCAAGTTACTGTAAAGAAGCCCAGCCAACTGTAGCGGCATATGTCTATATTAAGCTTCGAGAGCCGCTAACTCTAGGGCAGCGGCAGCAGCCGCGGCCGCGATTACTCTAGATCACGTCGCGTCGCAATGCGTCGCGGGGAGTGGGTGATCGCACGCTAGCCCGGCGCTGGGCTCGCGTGCGACGCGCTCGCGAGGGCGTTTTATTTTAAGTAATGGGGACAGATCCACAAAACAATTGCATTCCACCCGATTCATCGCATGCGACCATCCATGCCACTCTGGTCGAATCGGCAATCGCGGTACCCAGAGGGTTCGGGAAACCTCAAAATGAGAGTTGCCCAAGTTGCTTGCAAAAGCAGTCGTTGCCCGCCCCATTCATCACACACCACGCCGCATTGGCTGACATGATCACAGTCTGGCGTTGTTTACCTGCCTCTCAAAGGGGATGTGGACGAGGTTCCGGGTGGTCGTGGGTGCAATGACTTGCGTGGCGTAGTGGTGTGCACTTTGCTCGTGGCATCCTTGGATTCGGATTTTGGTTTTGCAAGCGTAGTAGTCTGTACTTGTGGGTTTTACGTTGCGGGGGTGGATGAGTCATTTGGCTCGCTTCACTGAAAGGTAGCTTGGGATGGTCGGAGCTTGTAGGAGAGTTTTTGACGGTTTATTTTTTAATCTGCCCGGCATTTTTTAATAGAAGGGGTGCTTGCCTGAGTGTTGTAATGGTTGTTGTGAGTGGAGTGGCTGAGAGGATTCTTGGTTGTTTTGGGTCGTCGTGACGGGGATGAGAAATTGTGGTTTAAGCCGCAGCTGACGTAAGGGAGGAGTTTCTGAAAAATACTGTATTGATCTCGATTTGAAAGGTTTCACGCATCTCTTAAAATAAGAACGACCGTGTTGAGGTGCTCTTATTGAAGCCCGTGGGATCAAGGTTTAGGGTTACGGGGGTGCGGACTGCGGGGTGATTGATTTTCGTGGTACTCTGTAGATTTCATTTCGGTGTCGAATATTGTGGTAATCTGGAGGCCAAGATGAGATGTTTTAGCCGAGTTTGATCTCACACTGAGATCTTGTGAGAATTATGTCACACTTCTGATTGAATTGAGTTCTCATGCACAAGCCTGGGCGTAATTCGGATTTGCATTCCTAGCGAGGTGGGGGGTGAAAGTACACGCTGAGACGGATCTTGCATGTTGAGGAGTTACGGGAACATAGTTGAGATATAGTGAAAGGTTCCGTGATTTGTTCTCTTTCGGGGTGTGAAATTTCTTCATAGGATTATTGAAGAAGTGAACATACTTTTGAGTTACAGCACCCCAGCGGTCTTTCATGGGGATTAAAGTCAACAAAAACACGGACGCTATGCAACTAGACAACAGTGAGGCGGCTGAATCTGATGCCAATCGTATTCCTTACCAAAACGTAGTCAACTCAGATTCCCCTGTAGCTCTACCCAATGCCTTGGAAAAAATTATGCAGCTGCCGCAAGTCTCGGAGCTGAAGCGGACCCACACATTGCAACGAGAGAAATTAGGTCTCTCTAAGCAACCAATTGAGACCACGAGATTCGCTGTTCTCTCCTTATTGAATCAATGGAGACTTCTGTGGATCCATGTGCTTAGCCACCATCTTCGCTTTGTAGCTGCAGGGTTTATCTCGATTGCAATTATCATTGCATTGGTCATTGTTGATGGTCCGCACGAATACTACGTGAGAAAGGCAATTGCGTACGCCAGATTTGTCGTCTGGTGGATAGGTCTCGGAGTTGCGTCGTCAATAGGCTTCGGATCCGGCCTCCATACGTTTGTCTTGTACCTTGGCCCGCACATCGCCACGTTTGCAATGAAGGCTGCGCAATGCGGTCGCGTGGATTTCAAAACCGTGCCTTACGACACACCGCAGTGGGGATTTCCGGCTTCCTGGCAACACAAGGAATGCTCCGACTTGGGTGAGCCTATGTTTCCCCGTCTCTCAACAAATGGGTTGGAGGTTTACGTGATCCCAATTTTCCAGATGCTGGTCCAAGTGCAACTGGAAGCCATCTTGTGGGGGATGGGTACTGCTATTGGCGAGCTGCCGCCCTACTTCGTCTCACGCGCTGCAAGGCTATCTGGGGAGAAAGTAAAGGAGCTTGAAGAGCTTGTTAACATGCCGCAAGAGCAGGACCATCAGAGCATCTTCAATCGCTTCAAAGTATGGGGTCTTAAGAGATTCTCGGAGCTAGGATTTTTTGCAATCCTCACCTTCGCATCTGTTCCGAACCCTCTCTTCGACCTCGCAGGACTGATGTGCGGCCACTTCCTGGTCCCGTTTTGGAAATTCTTCATGGCCACTTTCATAGGAAAAGCCATAATTAAGACACATATCCAGACGGTCGTAGTGATTCTGGCGTGCAACCCCCACGTTCTAGAAGCACTGGAGGCAGGACTAGCTTGGGTTATTGGTCAATTTCCATTCTTGAGCAGTCATTATCCGCGCATCATGGCTGCTGTGGGCACAGCCAAGGAAAAATTCTCCCGTTACAATGTGGGCGATGCCGAGGCGGCCAAGGCGGGTTTCAATTTCGGCTTTTTGTGGAATACTGTTGTGCAGCTGATGATGGCGGGTTTTGTTGCGTCAATCATCACAGCCACTGCACAGGGATATTTGATGGAGCGGCAGAAACATGAGGTGACAGCTCTCGTTGAGAGACTGAATAGCAAGATGGACGAAGACTTGGACAGATGATGACTTCGTGTAACCCATAGGCTAGAGAAGTTTGTACAGATTCCAAGCCAAGACCTTCTTATAGTCGCGACTGTGCTCTTGACAATGGCTGCTAGAGTTCTTTTGCAGAGTCACAGTTCATTCATCCGAGAGGAAAATACCTCTTGAAAGTAGGATCAAATTGATCCTTCCATTTCTTTGGTTGGTAATTTGGTAGACAGGTTAATTTGGCGAGATGTGCCGCATTTTCTTTAATGACTTCTCTGGCTAGGATGATTGTCTTCGATCTCTTTACTTGAGGTGATAGCTAGTTGCAATGCCCAGTTGGAGATCATTTTTATATTTAAAACACTAGGAACGGAACGTCTTTCAATTGTTCATTGCCGTGGCTTCAATTGTTGCTTTCATCCTTAATTGTTGGTGAAGCAAGGGCTCATGGTTCAGAGAGTAGGATTGATTTGGGGTTTCTACCTGCAGAGTTCTCGAGGTACAATGTTGTGAGTGTCTCATTATCGGCATTTATATCTTGCACGTCTTAATTAGGTCTGTTATGAAACAGTGAAAGTGCTCGTCTTTTGTTGGTAGATCGACTTTACTTTCCTGCAGGTGGATATTGCTCAATGCCTGCATTTAGAGATTTCTTCTCAATGGTATGATTAGGATAATTTGCTTATTTCTTTTGCTCTCCTATGGTTATGTAGTATAAGAATTAGGTGTAAACATGCAATATCCTTTAGCTGGCTCATTGCCAGTTAATGATCACTTGCATCGATTGTAGTGTATCCTAACAAATCAATTTTTTAATCTTGTTTGATAGTTAGAATTGAACTCCTTGGCTGTTAAATACTGCAGATTTGAATTCATTAAGTTGTTTGCCAGTCAATATGTACTATTGAAGACATGTTTTTTGGGATGTATGTGTCTCAACATGGCTGTGATCTGCATAATTAGATATGTTTGGCAAATGTTATGCTGTAGTATTGCTTGAAAGACTGGTGATGGAGTCCACTATTGAATTACAAATAAAAAAAGTGGCATTGCAATCAGTCACCATTCAGAGACCATTGACTAATTTGGATAAGGCTGACAATAAAGTTGTGGACATTTCTGGAAAGTAGATGGTCTAGATACAAATGCAAAATATAAACCATGATAATGTATCCTCAAACCTTGATCATCACAGCAACCTCCATCAATTCAATCATCACAAGTGTCTTAATGTAATCTTTGACTTGCTTTCTCATGGTGGAATAAACCATTATTCCAGTAATATCCTCAACATGGCAATTTACATTGTCAGGTGGAAGTAGACATAAAATATTTGATGAGTACAAGGATTCCAGTGCAATCCTTCTAGAGAACTCCTAAGAAAGCCAATTGTCAGAAATTTTTATCACAAATGGTAGCCACAAGCCATGTTACCATGTGATGTATCAGAGCATCTACCCCACTGAGCTGTTCCTGGTCCATTCCATCAAAACTAACCCAAATCTGCTCTCTTGTTTCATGAGGCACCTGTCCTTTGAGGCCCATGATAATTAAATTATGGACATGGCAAGACTTGAAGTTTTCAACTCAGGTATAAACACAGACATTATCTATCTTTGTGGACAAAAGCAATTCTGAAGACTTTGACATGTTAAAACTAAATTATAGAGTACCCACATATGATATTACAGCAACAACCGTACAAAGTCAGTAGGTCTGCAGAGGAATATAGATTAGCCTGGACTCATTGTCACAGACTCTGGAAAATCAATGGTCTGAAGAAGAATGAATGGATACATGTCAAGGTAAATAGAATACCAAGAACCTGCAAAATTAAACAGATACAAGACATGACAGTTTAAAGTGAGAATAAACAATATACAAGACATATACTTGATCAAAATGGTGCCATGAAACCAGGGAGTCCATGGTGAAAGAGAATGGGGACACAGGACTCTTCAAAACATTGGTTGCCTTCATTGAATTTTACAATCATTGGTGTAAATGCCAGATTGATGGAACTTCAAAACAAAGTAGGTCTACTAGAAATAATTTCTTGTAGCTCTACTCATCTCAATTCCTTGAAAAATTAAGCAAATGTCCATTTCACCACCACCCAACATGGTTACCAAACCTGCTTTTGCATGCTGCTGCATTACTTCTCCTGTGGGGAGAACAATAAGAGCGCAAACTTTAGTGACATTATTAGTATCATCTAACCTAGAACAAAACACACGCGGGATATTTCTTGGTTTGGAAGAGAGCATCATTTGTTGTAGCTCCTGGTTGCTGGTAAAATTTCCTGAGAAGCTAATCACTTGAATCAGGATGAGCACTTGATAGTCTTTCATTAAATGACACAAACTCACTTGGAACTGTTTATAAATTGTACATGAACCTGAGTTCTCAGTACTCAAAATTGTTGCCTATTTAGACAGTCTTCATCTAAATCAGACTGTACACTTGTTTCAAATGGTTGAACGCAACTGATGTAATTGTCCTCCACCAGTTCTCACTTCGTGAGAGGCTCCAAGTACATTTCAATTACCTTCTCCTCCCTTGGGCATCTGTATAGAAGACAATCATAACTTAAAGCACTTGAAGAACTTGATGGAGAAAATTTTATGCTTTCCTTCACCAAACAATTCAGAGACAGTATGCAAACAATTGGTAGTCATATACTCTACACCTTCACTAAGCACATGGAGCTGCACATTAAATCAAGTCGAAGAAAAGTGACTAAACTTAAGAGTGCTCACAGGTCAAGAGCAAAAAAATAATTTTGTAATCAATCATTAGAATGTGGACAGAAGTACATGGTTTAGAATACTACTGCAATTACGACAAATGCTCTTTTGAACAAAAAAAGGGTTTGATGTAAATAAAATGGAATGAGTGCAAGACTACAACCTTAAAATCAACATTTGAAAAAGATCAAAACTCTTGTCTATAGTTCACTTGTTGAAGTTGTGGAAGTCCACGAACTTATATGAAACGGATCACAGAAAGGTGGTATAAATGCTGGCAGAGGAGGAAGGTCTGCCAAGGGAGGTAGTTTGCTTGGCAGAGGCAAAGGATGCAACAAAGGAATTCTAGGCTTAAAATGCTTTCTTATTCCCATGGCATTTTCCTTTTTGCCATTCAACTTGTTCCCAAGAAAAGACATACACAGGAAAAAAAAATAAAGTCCAGCGATATACATGTCCTATGCACCACCATGTTACTATTGCCTAAACATTCACATACCTAAATTAAGAGTTACTAATGACAATAAGTAATGCTAGAGAAAAGTGAATATAAACAAATACTACTGCCCTTGTCTCTCCTAGTACTTCTTATATTTCATTATATTTAGTTTGTCTCAACTTCATTCCATTTTCTATGTTGATTTTCTCACTCTAAATTATTATATTCATTCCAACTCTACTTCATTGTTCTATGCTTAATGCTACTCTAAATTACTATATTTAGTCAATTTGAACTCTACTTTTGCATGTCCAATCCAACTACAAATTATCATGTTTACCATAATAAATGTGATTCCAAATACAATCCATATCAACAAAACTACATAGTTTGGTATCTACTCTTCAATAAGACTTGATTCAAATTCTAGTGACTTCAAACAAGGAAGAGCCAACCTTTAGAGCAAGCATCAATTCCTCAAGTTGAATAAATGCTATCATTTTTAAGCACTTGTGATATATACTTTTATCCATATTAAATAGCGCATAAAATAGAAATTAACTTCATTGTCTCTTTGTAGAGAGCAATATACATTTGGACTTTGAAACAAGAGCTGATTGAAGAGTTGAGTATCACATCAATATAATTTGCAAGTAGATGATATTAAAGAATATCTTCATACATATATCAAAATATTTTGGATATTTACATCTATAGTTCTACTAAAAGTGCTACTTTGTATATTAACTACCAAATTTTTTTCAGCATAGTACTCAACAATTCTTTTAACAAATACAACAAAAAAATATTCAAGATATTCTAAAAAGATAAAGAAGATACAATGCAAAGATGACACTTCTTTTTTACTTATACTTGTTATTGTGATATTTTTACATTCAAAAGATACATCATATTTCTTCAATTGAAAGAGATTGGTTAAATTTTGGACGACAACATAGCTAATCCATAGAGCTCTAAAATTTAAAATAGCTAAGTTTTTACATCAAAGAAATAATGGCAAAAACTTGCCATAATAACAATGGTCACAAGTTGTGACTATATAATCTTTAATGCAGCAATTGATGCTCAATTATATTTATTTACATCTTGCATTAGAAATTCTTTGTAAGTAGTTCACATTTTGTTAATTAGATTAGATATTAACTAAGCATTTTTTCTATACAAAGTATTACTTAGAATTTTTTTCAGAATTACAATCATATGGCTCTATCATATGCTAATATTGTGTATTTCAACATGTCGCTTAGACTCTTAGTTAACAAAGAAGATGCCACTATAGTTGATGTCGATAAGAAAATCCTTGTAGAATCCACCTAAAAGCAATGTAAGATTTTATTGATCAATCACACCAAATCAAAAGAAGGAAAACAATTGTTAGAAGGTATGATATAGAATTATGTTGGCTTTCTCATCAAAAAAGATAAGAAATAGATCCATGTTATAGAAAGCAAGGTAGCAACTAAGAAACACTTTTTGAAGGATGACTTAATTGTTGCCAATTTTATAAGTGAAAAACTTATTCCTCTAAGATTTTTGGTATGGCTAACTTCTTTGAATGTAGATCTAAGAGACAAAAATGTAGTGGCAAGTGATAACATAGAATAGGGATTCTTTTATATAAAGGCATCTAGTAAAGATGTGACTTTACAAGTTTTAGTGCTTATCTTTTATTAATTTGCAAGAATCATATATATATTTTAATCATAAATATCTCATTTTGATTCCAATATATATCAAGGTATGTTGGTTTATACTTGAATTACTTTAAAACATATGTCTTAGCACTTTTATGTGTTGCATCAAAAGTTACAACAACCTTGATAAAATATTAGTGGTAGATGTAAACTCTAATATATTTGTAAAACCATAATTTTGTATAGTCCTTAATAGTAGTAAAGATTAAGAGACTGAAATTGAAATTGAAGATTATTAGATCTAAAAATTAATTTCTATCATATTTGACTATATTCACCTCCATATTAGGTGAAAATTTTGTCTAGATATAAATCATAAGGTTAGATCTTGTTTCCATTGGCTAAGAGCAATTTAACATAAGACAAATGAAAATTGACTTCATAGCATTGGTAATAATAATCATAAGAGAAATCAAGGAATAATATACTTGTCTCATGCGATAAAAAATACTATATTAAAAAAGTCGATTACAAACATAGATAGATTTATTTTAATAGGAGAAAAAAATAAAGAGATAATCAAAACTTTATCATAAAATTTTGACACTCAGTTCTTGAAAACACATACACCTTTCAATTCCAAACCA